AATTTTGCTGTATATAGGATTTTTAGTTGATAGGGTTTAATTTTTTTTTTCCTTTGAACACATTAAATACATCAGCCCACTGTCTTCTGGACTTCAGGGTTTCTCATGAGAAATCTGCTTATGATGTTAGGATCCCTTAATGTGATGATCACCTTTGTCTTCCTGTTTTCAAAATTCTTTGTCTTTTGAAAGTTTGCTTATAATGTATCCTGGTTTGGGTGCCTTTGAGTGCATCTTACCTGAAGGCTGTTGAGCATCTTAGATGTTCATATTCATGTCTTTCATCAAGTTTGGGAAGTTTTCAGCCATTATTTCTTCAAATATTCTCTCCCTCTTTGTCTCCTGGGACTCCCACAATGCATATATTGCTCTGTTTGTTGGTGTCCCATCGGTTCCTTAAGCTCTGTTCACTTTTCTTCAGTCTTTTTTTCTTCATTCCTCAGACATGATCTTTTCCATTGTCCTGTCTTCAGATTCACTGATTATTTCTTCCTCCTCAAATCTGCCTTTGAATTGCTCTAGTGAATTTTTCATTTCAGATACTTTTAAAGTGCAGAATTTCTTTAGGGTTTCTATTTAGGTTTTCTATTTATTGATATTTCATTTTCATATTTTGATCATATTTTCTTGACCTTTTCTACATCTTCCTTTAGTTTTTTGAACATCTTTAAGATAGACATTTTTGGCTAGTATATCTGCCCTCAGAACTTTTTCAGTGGCAGTTTCAGTTTTATATTTTTCCTTTAAAGGGGCCATGCTTTTCTAAGCATACAGCTTAGAGTTTTTTTCTTTTCTTGCTGAAAACTGGTTACTTGAATCTAATCATGTAGTAACTCTGGAAATCAGATTTTTCCCCTTCCCCAGTGTCTGCTGTTTTTCATTATTGTTTTCTGTGGGATGTATTGTAGGCACTCTCTGAGGATCATCAGCCTGAGGTAAAAACTTAAGGTCTTCTCTGAGACTTACCCTGGGCATACAGAGTCTCTTTTCAGTTTCCCCTGTATATATAGTTTTGAATCTCTTCTTAGTCTTTAATGTTGGGCTCTCAAAAAGGGAAAAAGCAAAAAATAAAAGGGGGAAAGGTGGATATAGGCCCTTTAAATCCCATTGGAGTTTCTTCAGCCAGAGTGGGGGGCCTTACAGTGGGAGCAGTCCAACAGCAATGACTATTCTTCGCTGTATCTGTACCTCTTTGATCAGAAGCAGCAGAGTGCAAGGTTCCGGTATTTGAAGAACAAGAGTCCTCTACCCACCCTGGTTCCTGCAGGCTATGTGTAAGCTGCTCTAACAACAAATGCACTGCTGCCTGCCGTGTAGCTGGGGGTGGGGGTGGTGGGAAGGATAGCTGTTACTGTGCTAAATCCTGAAATGAACCACAATGTACTGCTCAGGTCTTCCCCCTGGAAGTTGCAAGCTCCAATAAACTCCAGAGTTCCAAAATAGTTCCCTCAGGCAGACTCCACCAATGCAATGATTTAGTTGGGGAGGCCAGTTCTGCTAGTGCTTTCTACTCCACCATCTTCCCGGCATTTTCTATCTGTGCATGTGTTTTTTATGTTTGGGGGACAGGATTGCTGGATCAGAAGATAAATATATATGTAATTGTGTTAGATATTGCCAAATTGCCCTCTGTAGTGGTTGTAAAATTTTGTATTCCTACTAGGAATATATGAAAGTACTTGTTTTCTCACAGCCTTACCAACAGTATGTTGTCAAGCTTTTGAGTATTTGCCAATCTGGGGTAAGTGGTGATATCTTAATGTAGAGCTTTAGGAGAGAAAACAGTATGTACAAAGAACTAATCCGAATTTCTAATTAAATAAAGTGAATTAAACACGTGTGTTTTGCTTCCCTCCTAAAACCCACTAAAATGGGAATAAAGAAAAATAACTTAAGAATAAGTTAAGATTAAGAGGAAGGTGCTTCTTCTATTCTGACACTGCAGTTATTCATTTGTTTAAAGATCAGTTAACTATCCTTGTTTAAAACTTTTCCCCATTTTTCTGATACTTGGTTTTCCACAATTTTTAAGAATCTTTTTATATTAAGGATATTGTGCTTTTGTGATACATGTTGTAAATATTTTTGTCTTTTAAATTTGTTTCTGGTGTGTTGTGTTTTAACCATGCATTTTTTTTTTAAAGGAACATCTTTATTTTTTTTTTATTTTTTATTTATTTATGATAGTCACAGAGAGAGAGAGAGGCGCAGAGACACAGGCAGAGGGAGAAGCAGGCTCCATGCACTGGGAGCCCGATGTGGGATTCGATCCTGGGTCTCCAGGATCGCGCCCTGGGCCAAAGGTAGGCGCCAAACCACTGCGCCACCCAGGGATCCCTAACCATGCATTTTTTTAAAAATTGTGTTATATTTATGAGAGAGGCCCTGAAAAGCTAATTGGAAGCTTTGTGTTTAAGGCTGGGGTTTATCAACAGACAATGTTTCATTCTGTGGGACCTTTTGATTTAAGAGAAGAATCTACCAATTTCTTGATAAAGATAGAGTAAAGGAAATTGGCAGAGGGGCCCTTTTCTGTACGTAGACCATTTATTTCTGTGTTTTCTTTGTTGTGTGTGTGTGTCCTCAAGTCACTCTATTTTGGGTCTTTTATTCTATACTTAGCCTTCATTCTCTTGTTATACTTGGGCAACTGTAATTTCTTCTAGTTGCTATATGTTCTGGATTAAGGACATAGGATCCCCCCCCCCCCCCAGACTTTGTCTCAGGAAGTCATTTGGAGGTATAGATTGAAGAGTTCTTTGAGAATTAGGTAGTAAGAATTGACTGACTTCCATAGACACTTAGAATGTCTGTTTTCTCAGTCCTGGTAGTCTGTTTTCTCATCTGCTGTCTCCTTTCAAGTTCTTCTTTATCTTATTTTTATTTTATTTTCTCTTTCAGTGGATGGGAGGAAAAAGAAACATTAATTTATTGTATTTAACTAGAAATTTGGGTGGTTCTGTGCACATTGAGTTTTTTCTCCTTAGGTTTTACTTTGTGAGCAATTGGATAGTTCTCAGTAGTTCACAGTATTGTACTTTGGTGATTTAGAATTTATGTGCCTAACTCAGATGATTATGATGAATAGTTAGAAAATTGGCTGCCTTTTGCCCTCTTTTATGTCCTGTTTAATTTCAAGGGAAGAAATTTTTTTATAGTTCCAAGCAAAAGATTGTTGGTTGGTCCTTGAAATACGAATGCTACTTGAGAGTCTGTCTTATCCCCATTTGCTATAAGTTTCCTTATATTGGTATAGTCTGTGTTTGATGATTATAGCTATTTTGTAGTTTCATTCTTTTTTTAAGATTTTATTTATTTATTCATGAAAGGCAGAGAGAAAGAGAGGCAGAGACACAGGCAGAGGGAGAAGCAGGCTCCCTGCAAGGGGCACGATGTGAGACTGGATCCTGTGACTCCAGGATCATGCCCTGAGCCAGAGGCAGATACTCAATTGTTGAGCCACCCAGGCATCCCTGTAGTTTCATTTTAGATGAATTTCCTTTCCTTTTCATTTTGGTGGTTTTTGAGAAGGGGAAGTATGTTTACTTTTATTCCTTTTATTATTATTTTTTATAGATTTTATTTATTTGAGAGAGAGAGAGAGCATGAACAATGGGGGCAGAGGGGGAGGGAGAAGTAGATTCCCCACTGAGCAGGGAGCCTGGTGCTGGGCTCAATGACCTGAAGTGAAGGCAGATGCTTAACCAACTGAGCCACTCAGGCGCCCCTATTCATTTTTTAAAAAATGCATTTAATACATTGTGACAAACAGTGTTCAAAAATCATGTATTTCTTTTCCTAATTTGTATACAGTTCTACATGAAGTGTGATTCTAGTCTGACACGTTTGATAACAGTGTATTTAAGCCACAATGAAAGAGGAAGGTGCCTCTAAACAAACATGTGCTGTCAGACTTTGAGTTTCTTTCACTACTCTTCTTCATTAGCTTTTGTCTCTCATAGCACATTGGCTCCGAGATCTCTGTGCACACCATTGTCCTCTCCTGGCCAGTAGTTTCTGTTCTCCTATAAGTTCAGCTTACATGAACCACTGGTCTCTCTCTTACCTACATGTGACCTTTCTGCCTCCGCTCTTTACAGCTGATGAGTGTACTCTCTTGCTGTTTCTTGTCATGTTTCCAAGGAAAACAGATTGGCCCAGACTATCTTTTTGTGCCACTTCTGAATTGTTTTTCCTAGCCAAACTATAACTTGCCTCCATTAAGTCTCAGGTGTCCAGTGCTGCTCAGGTCTGTTTAGGGATGACAGGGGGGCAGCAAGGCAACAGTAAGGAGCAGTTCTCCTGGTGAATGAGGGAGTAGGATAGAGCTGAGTATAGAGCACATTCCCTATTTCAGTATACCAGTTTATTTTTAGTAGACTACTTTAGGCAAGTAGTGCCGATTGAATATTGTGGGAAACTAGCTAATATTTAAGTGTTAGAATTGACTGGGAAATCTGCCCTACTTGATGCTATTTTCAGTTTGCTTTGTGACTAGTAGCATAGTGTGGGAGAAAGATCATTATACTGGAAGACAGGAGTCCTGATTTTGCCGATGTTGACTTTCTTCATCAGAATAATTTCTAAAAGGTCAGTGGAGTAGAATAGTTTCAAAGGTACTATCTAACTGTAAAACCTTGTGACTCAGATTGTGCCCTACGAAGCTGGGAAAGGTAATTTCCACAAAATCAGAAGTTTAGTTAATGTTTTAAAAAAATAGAAACAAGAATCACTGGGCCCATACATTAGAAAAAGTTAGGGGAGTTTTGTAGTGAGTCTAATTCTTCTCATTTGTGTTTGTTTTATTTAAAATGGGATGGTCCTTGTAAATTGATTGAAGTCCGTTATATTTAAACTCTTTTTCCCCAACGTAACTTGCAATTAAGTAGTTATTACTGTAATACTGAAATTTGAAATGCTTTTTGTCTTTGATGCTTTTTTAAAAAATGGAATTGTATATTCAGAATAATTGAGTAAAATGGATTTCTTTTACTTTTTAGGATTTAAGTGCCCTGTATGCTCAAAATTTGTACCTTCAGATGAAATGGATTTGCATCTTGTGATGTGTTTAACAAAGCCAAGAATAACCTATAATGGTAAGTTCAGTGCTTTAAAATACTATTTTAAATTAGAATTACCATAGATTTTCTGAATTTTATGTTTTAGGTGAAATTTAAAAGGCAAGGAACCCTGGAGCTAACTGGTATTTTAGTTAGGTTTGGTACATTGGCTTTACTGTTCCTTCATGACCACAGTCTCCAGACATTTAAAATCCCAGGGAAGAGTTTTCAGTGTAGCTTTGGTACTTTTTGAAATAGACTTGAAAAACAAAATCACATGATTCATTCCTGTTTTTTTTCAAAACTTCATTAATAGACAAATTTCAGAAGCCTATAAGAAATTTCAGGGACTTTTCAAATGTAATATTTGGTTTAAATAGAATAAGCAGAAAAAAAAAATAGAATAAGCAGGAAGAGCACCAGTAAACGGTGAAGCCGATTGAAAGGTTGACTTCATGCAACAGATGTCCTTTTATCTTTAAAGATTCTTTAAAAATTTTATTTATTCATGATAGACATAGAGAGGCAGAGACACAGGCAGAGGGAGAAGCAGGCTTCATGCCAGGAGCCCGACGAGGGACTCAGGCCCGGGACTCCAGGATCGCGCCCTGAGCCAAAGGCAGGTGCCAAACCGCTGAGCCACCCAGGGATCCCCCTTTTATCTTTAAAGAGATCATGACCCCAGTGAAATCAAGAGTTGGTCGCTTAACCCACTGAGCCACCCAGCACCCCTCAGTACATGTCTTTTGAGAACCTGTGGAGTATAAGGTGTAGTGTTAGGAATTTGGAATACAGCAGTGAATAAAACAGAGATGGATCCTACAACCTAGCATCAGCCATAGGTTAATCAATGTAGTGGCTCTTAGTTAAGAATCTGAAATTTCTCCCCAGATTACAAAAATGCTGGGGTGAGGGGTAGACTTTAATATTGAAATGGACATGTTACCTTGACTAACTTTTTTGCAAACTGTTTTAGGAATCTCTCTCTAATGCAGTGGTGCTTCAGCCACACTAGTATAGTAGTGGCTGATGTGGGAAACAAAGGCAGAAGAAAAATTATTATATTTCCTGACTGCCTACAGCTCACTGAAACAGGCAGAGTGACCTTCCTCTAGGGACTCAACTGCCTCGATGTTAATACTTTGGTAAGAGCAAAAGGCAGTCTTAGCCCAATCCCCAGGATCCTGTAAGTCTACTTGAACATAAAAAAATTCCTTTGGAAACTTCCTTTGCCTCTTACCCCTAAGATACATGTTGGCAATCATCCCCTAAGCACATGACCCACCAATTATACATCTGAAGGGTCTCATGACTCAGGTTTTATTAGATGGTAATAAATGACTTTTTCCCAAGAGCTAACCCCTCAAGGTCCTGGAACCTTGCTTCCAAAATTCCTCAGAGACTTAGGCTATCCCTAACCCCCTCCCAACTTGGAAGTCCAACTTGGAAGTTGGAAGTCCAACTTGGAAGTCCACAGTGGGCCACTCCTCATGAACCCTCTGTAGCTCTTTCTGCCCACAGGTCCTGTCCACATGCTTTAATAAAACCACCTTTTTGCACCAAAGACGTCTCAAGAATTCTTTCTCAACCAATGGCTTGGAACCCTAATGTCTTTTCCTACATCAGTGACAATAGAACTCTTTTTTCCCACTTATTTTCCAAAGAATAAGCAAAAGGAGATTGTAGCAATTCCTTTGAATAGTAAATGTACCTGTTGATTATATCCAAACCTCTTTGCATTGTGAAATTGAATTGGCTAATTTGCATACTACAGTTACAATTCAGTTACTTAAAAATAAAATAGCATTCTCAGGTTCAAAATTTGAGATAAAAGTGATTGGGCCTGTTTCTCATTTGTACTCAATTATCTTATCCTTACCCTTCATAATTATTATGTTTATTACATGTGTCTTAAAAACCCTTAAATGTTAAGAATTTAGCCTTGAATTTTGAAAGCAAAATGTTAATTCCTTGACTATATTTGCATAAAACCTTAGTATTCAGTACATTTACTTTTTGTGTGATATATGTACAGTACAGTCTTTGTGAATGTTGATTTTGTCAGTTTTTGATTTCCTGATTTAACTGGACTCAAGTCATTAAGGTTTTTTTTTTACTAGCTCATGTATTTGGTGTCTTGAAGATATCTTCAAGACCCAGTAGGTAATATTCTGCTTGGGATACTTTTTGTTAAAAAGGAACCTACAGGCCCAAGATCGTGTCACTTAGATCAAGGCACCAACTCAGTAAACCAGGACTTTAATACCTAGCCTAACTGCAGTTACAGCCCCTCAGAAATGTAGCCTTTAAGCAGTCAACATGAGAATTTCCTGGTCATCACTGGAAATCTGATGATAGACCCCTTCACTTCCCTTTGGAAGGGTGACCTTGCCTAAAACAATGGATTCTTTGCTAATCATTTTCCTTTTTCCACTCCCTCTCTACCTTTAGAAACCTTTCCTTTCTTGTAGCCCTTTGGAGCTCCCGTCTACTTGCTAGATAGGATGCTGCCTAATTCACTGATTAATAAAGCCAATCAGACTTTAAAATTTACTGAGTTGAATTTTTGTTATTGAACACTATAAACCCAAGGATTTAGATTTTAAGTATTTGATAGTCTTCCAGTCCAGAAGTTAGTAAACTTAATGCAAAAAGCAAAGTCGCAAATATTTTTAAGAATGGCTACCTACTTTATAATAGGTAAATCTGAAACTTTTTAATTTGTTAAATATATATTAAGTGTTCATAAACATTTGAAACAAGCAGCCAAAACAGTTTCTTCATAAAAATTATATGTGGCTCTTGAAGTTTTAAACATGAGACAAGTGGCCAGCTGTGGTAAAAGAAGGAGGAGTTTTGACTGATTTAGATTAGACAGTGGTGGCTAATGCACAATATGCTTCCCCATAACAGTCTGTGGGAATTCTTACACCACGTTCTTTTGAGGGCAGAACCCCGCAGGGAAGGAAAAAAATAATCCTTCTTCCCTTCTGAGTTCTTGGCGAGCCCTTTAATAAAAGACAGATTAAGAAGAGGAAAAACAAAAGTTTAACCTGGTTAAATCTTGTATACATGGGAGATACCCAGGGGAAAAGAAGCAAATCTCTGAGATGGTCTAGAATGTGTGTTTGAATACCATTTTCAGCTAAAGACAAAGTAAGGGTGGGTTTGGGAGTGGCTAATTGTGGGAGGTTACCAGGAGAATCATGGTAAACAAGGGGTTTGTTATGCATATTTAAGTCTGCTCCTTCTCCATAGATGAGATTGTCTTGCAGTATTCTCTTAGGATTTAGAGTCAGTCTTTTCTTCCTGGTGCTGAAAGAGAGACACCCTTACAAACAGATTTCCTTTATAAATGTAAATTTCTCTTACAAAAGGATAATTTTTACTCTGTTTTCAGAGCTTCTCCTGTGTCTGTTTTTCAGTCTTTTAAAATAATCCTTATACCAAAGAGGCTTATTTTGTGGTAGCATATTCTGTTACGCTTCAGGCTCCCAAATCTCTATCACAGGTGATGACGCTTTGTGAAAACTGGTCTCTTTAACGCCTAAGGTAGGCATCTAGGATTACTATAAAGTTTAGAGCAAGGTGATTCAGAGTCTCTGAAATGGAATTGTTAGTCACTTGGACTTTTTATAACTTCATATTTGAATTCCTGGAAACTGATTCTGTGGAGAGAGATGGAGCCTTTAAATTGTGTTGATACTCAATTGAGAATTCTATTCAGCATAGTGCTTATTAATAAGTTCCACCTTTTACATCCTTTCCTACACTAACTGGAATTGAAATTTGGAAATTTATTTGTTGAATGTATATTAATTTAACTGTATAAATATTCACAGCAAGGAGATTAGTTGGGCTTGTTTTTCAGGCTGGATGTATTTATAGTCCATCTCTAGAATAAGATGAATTTCAGAAATTTAAATAGAAGCTGGTGATTCAGAATTTTAGATTTATACTCAGAGATGTTACTTTAAATGTTGGTTTGGTTTCCAGACTAGCTCACAATAATTTCCTTTTTTTCTTCTTTAACCTGTAATACTATATGCAAATACTCAAGTCTTGGTAACTGAAAAGGAAAATGGGCTAAGTTGAAGCTCTCAGGGTTAAGGCAGCTGGCTCAGCAGAGGTTCAGGTAGGAGGCCCAAGGCGGTCTGGCAGGGAATGATTCAGAATGATGAGAGTGGTTATCTATTGCAGATGGTGTTTTGGCAAATGGAAAAAAATTCATAGTTCCACAGTGAGCATTCATCTGTATAGATCACCCATGAGTCAGGGACTGCCTGTTGCAGGATCACTGAGTGTGCCGGGCCAGTTAAGAAAGAACTCTTGAGACATTTTACGGTGCAGCTTAGTAAGTTCATTTAAGTAGTACAGGGACAGGACCTGTAGGCAGTAAGAGCTGCACTTTGTGTGAAGCGGCTGGGTATATGCTTAGTGTTCAAGAGGGAGGGAACACACAGTATTAGATCATCAGTGTTTCTTTGACTTTCGAAAACCACTTTCACAAGATTTCTCTGGTGCTTATCATTCAGCTTGATATTAACTGTCGGTGACATATACAGTCATGAGACCCCCTTACGAATGTAGCAACCAGTCCATATTTGATCCTTATCGGAACTATGCAGGCTATAGGTCAGCCTTCTGGGCTAAAGGTGAACATTTTTCTGCTCTGTCCCTCAGCACTGCTTATTTCGTATACTTTCCCTTTTTTGTGTGTGCTTCATTGTTTAGTTTATGGACCTAATCATTCATTGTGTAGTCTGTGAAGCTAATATAAATTTTATGAGTGCAGAATTTTTCATTTCCTTGTTCCTCATTTTCTACAATGTTTCAGAACCAAAACTAAAAAATGAAATAAATATTGTAGGCAAATTCTTAGTCTTGATTTTATTGGTCCTTAAAGTTTGGATGATACCATGTTTTTTTGTCCTATGAAGTTCAGTTTTTATTTTAGTCTCCTGTGCTTGAGGGTAGTAAAGATTCGTATTTGAGAAATCATTGCTTTATTGGTAGTTGGTACTATGTGTGTGCAT